TATGTGGTTATTTTTTTTTTTTTAATGCATATAAATGCATATTTTAATAATTTTAGAAGCATATTTGTGTATTTTTTAGAGCTATAAGTATGTATTTTTTTTGCGTGTAAACTTTGAAAACGTTCGCTACAGGAATTGTTTAATATAACCAAACTGCAGTTAAAATATTTTTTTTATTTCAAACCGTTTTAATACATTATGTGTATTTGAAACATCAAATGGTGGCTTACCGATAACCCGATATTCCTAATATTTCTATAATTTGTTATGTATTGTTTAGAATTATTAATTTTTATCTGGTAGCCTCGCAACGTGTCCCATTTGCTCCTCTTAGTCCAGGCATAAATATTGGTCAAATATTGCTGGTGATAAATACTGGTCAAACATACCAGTTCTATGGGATCACCCAACGACTTGTCTCATTATGCTTATAGTTAATTCAATCATTCGTTGGTACTCGACGCTCGTTTCACGAAAAGTCGAAAACTGTCAACTGATAATAACTTCTAAAATAAAACAATATATTCAGATCACGTATTGATAAAATTAAAATTGTTGAAAAAATAATAATTATATTGAACTTATAAAAACTTATTGGTTGACAATCAATACAATTACTTTGCTGATATGTATAGTATTTTTTTTGTTCGGTGAAATAAGGCGCTATGCACTATGTATTATATTTTCATGCCCACCCAACCTATTTCGTAAATATATCCTTATTCCTGTGAAATGTTTGAATAGAGTTTTGTGATTTTAAATGTATGGGATTTTAAGAATACAAATGCAGTACTTTTGAAAAAAATTAATATCAACAATACGGTTTTAGTAACCTATACAATAAATTGTACCGCATTTAGACCTTGGCGCATCGGCGTATATTAAGAATCCTTTTACCACACCACTTTACGAAGGGATAATTTTTGAGTAAAACGTGGACAACAGGGTATTCGGATATTTCACTGCAATTAATTCGCCGTGCGACTATACACCGTCAACATTTCACCGCATTTACAACTCCTCACCACGTACACCACGCGTATATTTCATTTTTGATACGATGGGCTCATCTTTCTGATACAAATTGATTTCCTAATCAAAAGTTTTAAATTTAAAAATCACCAGATTGGTTAATCACCTAACCTATTAAATAATGAGTAAAATATGACAATAGATAACGTTAAGTGCCATAATTGTAAAAATAATTATTATCGAATTTAGATAGACAAAGAATGACGGGAGGCATTCTGTTATCTGTAATATGATTATTTTTTCCCTGGAATAATCGATTATTTAAATAATATTCGATTGTAATCGAATAATCGAATAATTGCTTATTGATAGAATAATCGATTAATAATCAAATAATTGTTGACAAAGATAAGATGGATAATTATTAACAATTTTAATGAGGTTGATAAATATTTGGGTTGTACAGATAATGATAAATTTAAATAATGGATATAATAATATTTATATATTAAATAATGGAGATAGTTAATAATTTATATATATTCATGGAAACAGATATTATATCTAAATTTTATTATTTTTTTCGTAATATTTAGGAAATTATGAAAATTAAAATGGTTAGTGCTTGCCTGTGCCTTCCAATCACTCCAGTGGACTTGTAAGGTTTTTCCAAATATAAATATTTATAAGCAGATAATCGTCATTCATTTACTTTTGATAACAACAAATACGCTCTAATTGTACAATGCAATTATTTTTATTTTGAGTAATTTATAAACTTTTATAAATTTTTAAATCAAATATTTGTAATTTTTTTATTTTATATTTAAGAACATTTTTTGTCATTTTTATGTCATATTTGCATCTTTTTTATGTCGTTTTTTAATGTTTTTAATGTCATCAACTTCCGAGCCCTAGTTATTAGACATTTTTCTTAAATATTTAAGAAAAAATTTAATTAAATTAATTAAGTTTCGTGTTGAAAAAATTGAGTTAAATATTATAGGGTTGATAAGTCATTTTTAATTTTATTTTATATGAATTTTTCAAAATTTTAATTTTATACCCTTACTCAAGGCTTTGCACTCGAATAATTTTTTCGGATTTCGGGTTTCAGGTGTTGAATATATTTGGGTGTTCAAACACCGCAATACAACATTTAAAAAAACCTTTGGGTGTTAATAACTGTTATTATTTGGATTGATATTGGTTAATACAGGTGTTAAGTAGTTAAGGAACAATATTATTTTTCATTGGTGGAGTGCGGTGGGGAGGCTGAACCCTTCTCCACTAATGATATATTTATATTTTTTGTTACCTGCTTATGTAATAAAATATTAATTTCTTATACAACTGTGCATCAGTTTTTTAGACCAAACTATCATTATGTTAATTTCAAGCAATAGTGTAACTGCGATTTATTTTCGGGGGCTATTTTATATGTGTATGAAGCTTATAAATTATAATATCTATTAAAATTAAAATACTAACACTATGTCCTTCTCCTAGTTAGTGCGGGCATATCGCATTTGACAAAAAACAAACTATTTTGTTTTTTGCGTTTGTGTTTGTGGCATTGGTGGAAATCCGGGGGGGGGCTTGAGGGGACTAAGCCCCCCAGAAATATAAAGTATAGGTCTTAGCCTCCCTAGCCCTAAAAATTGTTATATGACTAAAATACAATAATTAATATAATTGTAAAATGCATTTTAAATAACAGAATTAAAAAAAAAATATTATGTGATTAAAATTAAATTGAATTCGTAAGATTTTATAAACTTCTTGTCATGACTTGAAACGATCGCAATTAATGTAATATTAATAATATGTAATAATACCCGTATAGGTTGTTCAATTTAATTAATTAATAATTTCTGTTTAGAATACCTACTCCAAAAATGTTTAAGATAAGGCACCTAATTGTTTTTTTGTTTGAATTGTTGATTAAAAATGTCAAATTGTCAAACTTCGTAAATTGCCTTGTTGAAATAAATTATTGCGCACAGTGGTATCCATAGATGTAAGAAGCAAATAATCCTCAGCCTCCCATAAATTTTACCAAATTTCCCCTGATGGTTTGTGGTGCGTGTACACACTAAAAACGCACTAGCTAAGACATAGTGCAATATAAAAATAATAATAATTTATACTTATGAATGTTACGATGAAATTATTACACCAACAAAAATTGACAATTCATGACAGAAATGTGTACTCACGCCATACATTGAACAAATACGAATAACGCGAACAATAATTTAGGTAATCGTACGCGAAACATCAATTCTATTTCAGACATACAGTATTGCAATAAATAACGACTCGGTGATTCCTAGAAGACCTATTACCTATTAAATTATAATAATACGACATATCCGCTTGGGATAATTTTAAAAATAGTATCACAGTTGTTTACACTTGAACATTCAACATACCATACCATTCATGCACATTTGTCAATATGATATATTGCTATTGTCTTTATTTAGATACATTTAGATTAATTAACAATTTTGTATATTATTTATGAAATTATTCCTGTGAATAATAATTTTACTATTAAACAACTAATGACAAAATTGAAATAACCACAAAAAATATTTACAAAATAATATGTCACATAAAGATTGTAAAATAAAAAATTATTCAGGTTTCGGGTTAAAACCAATATTTTATTCGGGTTTTGGTTAATTCGGGTTACATGGGTTTTGGGTTTTTGATTTTTTAAGGGTTTTTAGGGGTGTTACGGGTTCGGGTAATTCGGGTGCAAAGTCCTGCCCTTACTGAAATAAAAATGGTAATAATATTTTTCCAACTGAATGCTAATGTATGCCATTCGACTGTTAAAAATAAAGTCAAACATTTAAAATTTCACTAAGTTATCAATATGCTTTAATATATTTTAAAACATTCACCACATTCCGAAATTTTCAGTATCATAATTTATAATATTTTATTATTTAACAACGAGACTTTAAACTTAAAAATTACCATCACTCACAAATACCACTTTACAATCAGTGGTGTAATTCAATATCATTTAAATATGATTAATTTGTGGGTAAATAGATGAAAAATCAAAATAAATTAATCCATTCAAGTTAAATTTTCACATAGAAATCTCGATTCACCACCAGTCACGTCAATTAATTAAACAATTCTAACAGAAAATAAAGTTATATCTTGATCTAACTCTAGATAAATGCCTAACCTAGAATCCACACAGAAAAATTAATCGTAAACTTCACCTCAAAAAACCACTTTTGAAGTCCAAATTATCCCTATTCAATAAACTTATCATATACAAGACAATAATTTGACTAGTTTGGACAGAACGTATTTAATTATAGGGTTCTCCAAAGCCATATAATAGCAAAACATTTCAGACTTTTCAATGTATCTGCTTATGACTAGTAACGTCTTCTCCTTGGTTTTTCCTAAATAATAATTTTCATAAAGATCTAAAAATTCCTACTCTTAATTAATTAGCAATATTATATTACTTTAATTTGCATACTAACTTCAACTTTCACTTTAACACATTAATCAAAAAACTATCCTCCACTTAAATTTCAGGTAATGTACGTAAAATACTTAAAAAAACATTTTCCTAGAAACTTAATAAAAAATAAAAAAATAAAATTAAAAACAATAATCATTAAAAAGTAAATGGTCGGGAGACACTGCTGAGTGTCTGCTCTTAAATACAACCTTTTGACAATAACCATTTATGAAATTTACTCATTAAACTAATTGTAATATATAAATTGTAAATCATTTTTTAATAAAAAAATAGAAATCAGATAAAAAGCTGTATGAATAAGATGAGAAAATCTTTTGAAAATAATTCCAAATTTAGATAATAGTAATTATTTAGTGAAAATGAATAATGAATTTACAATTAATAATTAATAGAGAGGGCATACATAAAAACATAGTTCGTGCCACAATCGGTGTAAACGTTGGCTGGGATTCCACTATGTGATGTGAAGCGGTCTAATGCCGCGAGGAATGAGTCAGTTGAAAAATCAGTTACAGTTTCCAAATGCTTTCAATGCCACGCAAACAAACGGGGCCAGATACTCCTTGTACGTACGGAATCCACGTTGACGACTCTCTTTCACAACAAGTGGACCACCGTAGTCTATACCTATATTATAAAATGGAAATTGTGCTGTGACTCTGGGAACAAGCAAGTCTGCCATAACAGGTTGAGGATTACTTGCCTCATATTTCGTACATGGCACGCATGAGTTCACTACCCGGCACACAGTTGCTCGACCAGATACTATCCAATATCGTTGGCTTATTATCGAGAGTGTTATGCCTGCTCCACTGTGGAGCAATATCTGATGATAATGCCGGATAAGTAACTCCGTGAGATGGCACTGTTGTGGTAGTAATATTGGATGTTTCATTCTGTTATTCAATTTTGAATGTTTCAGGTACCTTCCAACACGAATCATCCCTGTCTGGTCTATAAATGGAACCAGTTGAGCCATTGTAGTTGGTACAATATCCTTGCTTTTTTGAATTTGTATGTGTATATCGGAGAAATGCCTTTTTTGCGTATATTTGATGGTCCTCTGCAAAACTTGATTGTGCTTTGAGTGCGATATAGGTCCTGTCGGCGACGAACGCTTTCGAGCTCGATCTGCAAAACTAATACAATACTCCAATACGCACTGCATCTGAGATAATGAAGAAAAGCGCTCTACAGTGCTATCTACAGGTTTAGAAAATATTCTAGAAAAGTCGAGACTATTTTTGTCGAACTTTACCCAACAGATAACTTAAGATAACATAATTTATTAGCATAAATAAAAATCGTCTTTTTATAATATAAATCATATATTACATATTTTATATCATATAAACTAACAAAAATAATAAGATATCCATTGTCTAAGTGTTCCACATAATTCAAATCCGCATATTTTCAACAACAAAACTTGTGTTTATTTCGTATATGACAGTAAATTACCACTTGCTGCAGACAATATTTCGGAAATATATCAGGCATAAAGTTGTACACAAGTAAACTTTTTATAATGTCTTATCAAGTTGCCTTTCAGTGAAAACGATCTACCACATACACGCAAATGGTTTTTCACCAGTATGCGTTCTATAATGTGCAGTTAATTGACTGATTGTCACAAAGCATTTTCCACAAACATCACACGCGTAAGGTTTTTCGCCATTATGCGTTCTATAATGTGTTGTCAAATTGCCTTTCTCTGAAAATTATCTACCACAAATATTACACGCAAATGGTTTTTCACCAGTATGCGTTCTATAATGTGTTGTCAAAGTGCTATTGTCTGAAAACGATCTACCACAAAAATCACACGCATAAGGTTTTTTTGCCAGTATGTGTTCTATAATGTGCAGTTAATTTACTGTGTTTGTCACAAAGCATTTTCCACAAATATCACACGCGTAAGGTTTTTCGTCAGTATGCATTCTATAATGTGTTATCAAATTGCCTTTTTATGAAAACGATTTACCACAAATATCACATGCAAATGGTTTTTCACCAGAATGCATTCTGTAATGTATTGTCAAATAACATTTTTGTGCAAACGATCTGTTACAAACATTACATAGATTAGGTTTTTTACCGTTATGCGTTGTATAATGTATAGCTAATTGACTGCTTGACACACAGCATTTGCCACAAACATCACACGCGTAAGGTTTTTCGCCAGTATGCATTCTGTAATGTGTGGTAAAAATGTTGCTTAATGCTAATGATTTACAATAAACGTCACACGAATTAGGATTATTTCCCACAGAATGTATTCTTGAACGAACGAGTGAATCGGAATTAATCGAATATGTCTTAGAGCAATGGATCACTGATGATCAATTTTATTTTCTATAAATTCATCCGTACAGACATCAAAGGTATCGTTTTTTCCGATTACATTTGTGATGATGATCATAAAACGGTTTGATGTTTACATCTGTTAATTTCATTCGGAAAAACTGTGCTATCCAAAAATGTCGCCTAGAAATAAACACGGCTTATGTTATTACATAACTATACAAAATTATTATGTTGTAAAAAATGTAGTCATATATCGTTGCGTATGAATTCATCAATGTTGATCAAAATTTGGAATAAAAATATAATTACATTATAAACTACGAAAATATTGAAGAATGATCCATCACATGGGCTTATGTGGCACCACGCACTATATAGAGTAGCGGAGGAAATTAGGAAATATTTCCCAAATGTTGTTAAACACATTTGGAGTGGGAAAAAAATATTTATAAAAGCCCCTTCAAGAGTGAATATTTTTAAAGAAATTGCGCCTACTATTCCAATACCACAACCACAACCAGTACTTAATAGATGGGAAATATGGCTAAATGCAGCATTTTATTACTGCGAACATTTTGATACCATAAAATATGTTACAGCATTAGATAGAAGCGACGCAACATCAATAGACAACGTGTTAGATTTACTATCTGATTCAGAGTTACAGTTGAATTTAATTTTATAAAATCAAATTTTGGAACTTTATTAGATTCAATAACTTAATTAAAGTCATCTAAAATTAGTTTAGCCGATTAATAAAAATTATAGAAGCTGAAAAAATTAATATTCAATATTTAATATTCATTTCTAAAATATTAAACGGAGAAGATAAATCAAATGATCTAGATGGTTTATCAGATGCTATGAACATCAATAATATTACATCTGTTGAGGTAGAGAGAAGTTTTTCGATCTACAAAACACTGCTGTCGGATAATCACGGTTCATTTTTGTTTGAAAATATTAAGAAAATCTTAATTGTACAGTGTAACAATTTTGAAGGTAAAATAAATATATTAAAAATTCTAAGGTACGTAAAAATATTCATTTTAATTAAATTAGAATCTTTTTTTGTTACAGAGTAGTTTAAAAACCAAAAAGTCGACAAAAAAGGAAATTTCATGAAAAATAATATATACTAACATTTTTTACCTAGAAAAACAACCCATAAAAAATATTTAGTTTTATAGTTTTTTAATTTATAGTTAATTATGATTAATTTGTATTAAAACCATATTTATGAATTTTAACAGTAAATATACATTTTTAATATCATTTTATTATGTAGTTTTTTAATATTTTGATGTCATTTTATGCATTTCTTTCGTTCAGTTCTTATATATTTTTAGATCATCAAGTTCCGAACCCTAGTAATTACAGTATTACGGATGGCAATTAATTGTTTTTATCATCAAAATATGTGAATAGTCTTATCAGATTATTGTAAACAATAATGATCTGTAAATAGTATATTATTAAAAATAATAAGTTATCTATGGGGGAGTATATCCCTCTTAGTCACCCGTTTGACCACTACTGATGGTCGTAGTTGCCAACGATGATAGGACCAAATACGTTTTTGTCGATCGGATATGCATTTATACTGTAAAAATGTTTTCTTTTTTCTTTTTTTTATAAATATATGTATAATATTTCGCTAAAAGATTATAGATGAATCGAAGTAATCAAGAGTTATCCAAGTTCTAGTTTAATTTGCGATATCATTATTAGTTGTTTCTGATGTACGGATTATTGTTCATTTATTATAACACTAATAGATTTCGTACGGTGTGCATTTTATATATATTTTTGCACGCAGTACGAAGTCTTCATGCGTCGATAATTGTCTACCTTTGGTCATCATTAGTACTAGAGTATTTGATACCCGATTACTCTGGATACTTGGGTTTTACGGGTATTACCCAATTTACGAAATTTCGGGTACCCGTTATGGTTTGTATACTTGTTAATTACTTCGCCAATAGGCCACAGTTATCTCAACAATTTGTACACAAAATGGTGACCAGCTATCCGATAGCAATATAATATTGTCGCATTTGCTACAGTATATATACGTATGATTGTGACACAAGCGTCTAGAGACAGCAAATCTGAATGGCTGCAAGATGGCCTATATATCATATATAACTTGCATTTATCAATAGTAAAGTACAAATCTTTTAAGTTGCAAGACAATACTTGACAACCATTTAAATAAATTACTCAAACTATTCCGAAGAGTAAAATAAAATAAAAAAAATAAGAATATTACAGTTAGGTGTATCTCGTTTATTAACTTTAAAAATGTACGTATATAATATTAATTATTGTATGTTCTGTTGTTAGGATTAATTATTAAGAATTTTCATAATATTAAATAAGAGCATGCTTTATAATTTATTGTGGTCTTTAAAAAAAATTTAAATCGATAATGGATTTTTATATTTTGCAGGCATTCGGATTTGCTGTTTCTAGACGCTTGTGATTGAGACTACTTATTATCTTTGTAGATATACATATAAAAGGTAATGAGTCATTACTAATGACTATAGCCAGGGACGGCGTAAGAGGGGGAGCAATATATGCAGTTTCCCAAGGCCCTGCGTCTTAAATTATAATTAAGACCCCGCGGTTCTGAAATAGTTTTTAACTGTGCTCAGATTTAACTGAACTTAAAATATTTTATCAATAGAAATTATAAGACCCAACATTTATTTTTTCCAGTTCCTCGCAAACTCTAATGTCGTCACTGACTATAGCCACTATAGATGTTACCTAAAAAGTTTTAAAATAGGATTTAAAATACCTTTTAACATTATATTCAATATTATACTTGAATTAAACTACAATATCACTAAAAGCAGTCAAAAAATGCTTAACATTTAATTTTTAATTTTTAAACGTGGTGGGTTTTAGTGGAAATAGAACAAATATACTTACAATGTTCACCTATGATCAATTTAAATCATATTTTAATCCATTTCAATAACAGTGTTGATGCACAAATGTAGATCTTTAAAGATAATTCCAATTGGTAAGATTTTTGTTGTGTAACGGGAAAAATATATACATTTAACACAGTTATAACGGGGAGTAAAGATTTTTAGTATTACATACTTAATAACAAATTTTGTTTGTTCGTTATCAACGAGATGAATATTATTTATTAATATAAAAGCAGCCACGATACTTTACTTAATGACCTGCAACTATTGAAAACTACCTATAAACTTATACTACATATATTAATACATATATTATTTTATAGCTCCTTTTTAGTTCTAGTCTGAAGTTGAATTAATAAATTATATTTAGTAATTATTATAAGTGTTTATTATATGGGCAATTAAAACAATGTTGTATTGATTAAAATATTAACAATTTATTGATGGAGTTCTATTATTTTAAATAAAAGTATTATTGCTAAATAAATAAAAAAATACAACTGGAATCTATATAAAACAATTATTCAAATGTTTCGACAAACCAATTAGGGAACATTTCAATTTAATAATTTAACTAATAATTACAAGATATATGGCATAATGCGTGTTTGCCATATTTTCGGAACTTCTTGGTAAGTTTACAAAATAGTTTGTTAATAGTGCGGGAATAGATAATATTTTACTCGCTTGGATATTAAATCGAAAATATGACAAATACTGATAATACGTAATTACGATCGTCCAATAACATCGAAGATCCACATACATCATACTTTTAGATATTTATACTTATATTAATATCTCAATAATATACAATACTAATATAATAATAAATTAATAAATAGAAATGTGTATGAATAATCAGTATTTGTGACACAAAAAAGTCCGGAATTCCCATGCATTTTATTCATGTGTCGATACAGGAATTAAAAAAATACATGTTTTTACGACTATTTTTGTCCTGCGACCATAAATCGTTTATCCAATTTTTCATGCCCTAGTATTGTAAATCCATTATGGGGTATTATTACGAATCGTCCTCAAGTAAAAAGTATAATATTTCATTTAAACGTTTAATTTGAAATATTAGTGACAAATGGATTCGGCCATATTTTTTTTTTATCACCATTGGATAGTAATTCTGATCTAAATGATTTAGTGTCGCATGATTAAGATATATCTTTTAAACTAATCAAGAACTGTTTTTTTTTCACGGAAATGACTGAGACGACGTTTGATGCGCGACGGTTAACGATTTACTTCAGTAAAGGAAGATAAAGTTTCTATCATTTTTATTATAGAACACTGTATAATATTATCGATTGATGTAAGTTAAAAACTAAGTTAGTTGTGGACAAGAAAGCCACCTATTAGAGGAATATTCGATCGCTAGCAAACATTGTCATAGTGTAAAACAGTGTTCAAATGAGCCCGCATAAGTCCGTTCGCTGTTGTTCACAGACATAACTGGGTATGTCACGAAGTTCTGTTCATCGAATTTTGAAAAACGAGCTTAATCTGCATCCATATAAGATCCAGTTAATACAAGAATTGAATCCAACAGATAATATCAAAAGAAGATTATTCGCAGAATGGATTCAGAGCCAATCCGACGTAGACTTCGCCAGCAAGATAATTTTCAATGATGAGACTTACTTCCACTTTTCAGGGTATATTAATAAGCAAAATTGTCAAATTTGTTTATGTAAATAATCCGCAAGACATCCATCAATTGAAGGAAAAAATTAGGTGGGTAATTGGCGAAATCGGCAGAGAGATGTGCGAGTGTATATCACAAATTTCAACGATCGCATAATTGCATGTAGGGATCGCGGAGGTTGACATTTACTCGGCATAATTTTTCATTATTAAATTTGAGATGTTTATGGTTACAATATATTTTTTTATTTGAAATTTCGATGGTTTTTTGCTAAGTTATTATGTTTTTAAAATATGCGTTTCTGCTGGGACACCTTATACAACACCATAAACATGATATAACACAATTATTGGTGTATGGCTTGTATGCAATAGAAATTATAACCGATTCTGTACAGTGTGAATTGTTCATACTATTCAATTGGTAGACGAAAAGACGAAAAGTTAAGGATTCTTAAATAATTATCAATTAATAATTGAACAATTTTTTTTGCGATGCAAGAAAAAACTTTTTTTGGAGGATTTGGGGGATGGGGGTGCTCCTTTTACCCCTCCTTGGATCTGCGCCTGATCAGGCAAATCTTATATAAAGATTTTGTTAACTGTGTCTTTGAATTTTATTTATACAGTTATTTTTAATGGGTGATGCATTTTATATTAAACGTAACGTTAATAACCAGGTAGCAAAAATCACGAACGAGAATATTTTATTTTTAGACAAAACTTATAAATTATAATCAAATGAAGAAGATCTATTTTCTTAAATAAGGTCAACTAATGAAACTAAGTGGAGGGATTTGCTAAAAGATTTACACTGTGTTTAATGTACATGGTCAGAAGTTCAAGTAAAGAAGACTTTAATACATACCTGAATATAAAATAATTAACTGTAAAAAAAAAAAAATTAAAATCATAATTTTCCAAAAAACGGTAGCATTTGTTAGATAATTCCGAAGTAGTGGGTTTTTAAAATTTTGTAATATACATTTTAACTTATCATTTGTCGTGGTCCGGTGATGTCAAACGTTCGTTCGATACGTCGAACGACGATACGTCCGTTCGTGCCCACGGTGTTCTAAGAACAACCCGAACGGACCGGTTGGATAGTATTCCGTGCGGGCGTCGTCGCGACCGTTCGCGTCCCCTGTCCATTGATTGATGGGAAGGGGGGGGGGGGGTGTCACGGCGGCGTTGCGTGCCGTGGTCAGGTGGTTGATGAGAGAGACATAGGCACGGTCGGTGACAGACGTTTCGATAACGGCTACCGCACGGGTCCGCGTCACATTAACACATGCTACATTAAGACATTTCGCAAAATCAGTAAAAAATGTTAGAGCCAAACGTTTTAATATCGAAGAAGAAGATAACTTTAACGGTATATACCAGAGGTGGCCTACATGAATAGATTCGCGAGACACACGGATAAATACAATAATTCCAAGAGCCAAAAGATCGATTTTAAATAATTTGATAAATTTCTATAAATTTAAATATGAAAAATTGTAATTAAAAATAATTATAATAATATGATAAGTAAATTTAAACTATAAATAAAACGCGAACTGCATCTTAAAATGACAAATGAGTCACATTTGGCCATCCCCGGTATATACTATACGGCTTAACTTTTGCAGAATTAAGCGTATCATTAAATTCGATTTAAAACAAGGAGCTTTTTTTTTGTAGTAAAAAATATAGACATCTGTTTGATCTCGAGTCACTAGTAGAATCGAATTGTACACAAGAAAATACAAATAATACTAACACTGTTGGAACTGAAAATAAATAGATTTTTTACAGACGAATCGTCATCCTTATCGAATTCGAACATTGATCACTTTGACAATTTTATATTTCAATCTAAAATAGTATTCACCTAGTTAACCTAGAACAGGAATGGCAAACCTTTTGAACACTGCGTGGCCAAAATTACATTTTTTTTTTTATAGAGCGTGCCTTGAAAAAAATATTAAAAATATTATATTTTGTTATATTATAATTTGATTGTATAATTAATGTATTAGTATAAAAAGGTTAGTTTAGGTACATAATAATAATAATAAATAATAAAAAATAAATAATAATAATAATAATTATAATAATATTGCTTTGTTAATTATTAATATTATATAATAGGTCCTATAATATTATATATGATATTATATAATATATAATAGTAAAAATTTTCGCGTGCCATCTCGGGTACGCATGTCATGGATTTGCCATCCCTGACCTAGAATATACCTAACCTAGAATATATATATATTACTCCAAGGTTGTCAAGTCTTCGAAACAGTGTTGAAATAATCAAAAGTTCCAACATGGAAAGAGGGGGAGGGGAGTTACAAAGTTTGCGCAGCACACTTACTCGTTCGTAGGTGTGATGTGATTTCGCGCAACAACAATAATAATAATTACGATAACGGTATTAATAATAAACGCGTTGACGACGATAACGTTAATGCGAAACCGCAGCCGTAACGGACCGGCGTGGGTGGCGCACGACCGCGCGAGCAGTATACCGTCCGACCGATCGTTTGCCACGGGGCCGCCGTTCAGTGTACCGTGTTTCGTGCGGGGGGAACGGCAGCCAGTTGGCAGTGTTTCGTTCCGTCGTCGTCGTGCACATCCGCCACCGTCGTCTTTCCACGCGCACGTGCCGACCGTTTTCGCCGCACCTAACCGGGCACCGATAACACTGTTACCGCAGGTGAGTGAATGTATGAATGTGTGTGTGTGTTTCTACGTGATTTTTCAATGTCGCCGATGGGCTCGTACACCCGATGTATGCCCACAACCGCATCCCCCGGATCGGTCAGAATCAATCGACGTATGTTGAACGTAACGGCATGGATCGCGCGGTCCAGTGCACGAAATTGATGGTATACTGCTGCGCAGCGGCCGCTTGTCGGCAACTGCATTTCGCGTCGTGTTCTTCGACCCGGAAAATGTAAATCTGAGCGGCCCGATTGACCGGGGTTTACTTGACCTTTTGTTCTTTTTTTTTTTTTTTTCTAAATAAAACTGATATTTTATGTAGGAAAACGGATGACAGTTGTAACGTAGTGACTGCGTCCGCACGAAGACCACCAGCCCGTCGTCAAATGTCCATCGCGTGTCATCGCATTTTGCAAAACAATATAACTTTATACATCGTAATCAATTGCCGTCGTAACCGTGAAAACAGCCGTCCGCGACACGTCCTTCCCTCCCATCCCCGTACATCCTTACACGAACCTGCACCTTTATCCTCGCGTCCCGTCTCGTCGTCCATTGGCCGACGGGCGGAGCTTTGTGGGAGAGATGCGTACCGGGTTACGGCGCGCGCGACCTACGCCACTGCCGCTGCCAGAAACCCGTCGGAGATGTTGCGCCGGAACTCTTCGTTTGCATGGGAAACCTCTAATTCGTGAAACTTCCGTACCCACGATTTACGATGATTTCCCAATAAAGGGGCGACGGTAGGGCGAGGGGTCACTTTTATCCTTTTTATTCCACGAGGCACCTGGCCGACTCCGGGACGAATACCGTTTTGTAGAACTGAAGTTTTTCGCATACCGTTTCGGATCGAACGGTGACTTTGTTGTGCGACTTCTACGAAATTTAAGACGACAGGCGTTTTCGTGTTATTCCAACGGTTCTCTTACAAAACGAACTACGCTCGTATTCGGGTGCTGGAAAGCATTCCTTTTAATAGAGAGCCGGTGCATGGTGTCTCTTCATCGTGTGATGGACCGCATTGGACGGTATCGTGTCCGTTTCGATCAGAGACGGTTTGAACATTTACATCTTACCGGGGCAGTATAATTTAAACCACCCCACCTACCCCGAAAAATGTATTCAAGCTTCCCTGGTATCACATTTTAATTACTTAAACGCTTAAACTTAAATTATGTATCTTCAAATATGTTCATAAATACCATATATTGGTATACTTACTAAATTTTAATTTATTCAACCAAAATGTGTATAAAAACCTTTTTTATCTGGGCACTGCCCCGGTAGTAAGTACTTATAAGCCGCCTCTGGTTTCGATTATCGCATCGGATTAACTGCATGGACGGATTGGTTCATTTTCTGTTTACACCACATTATGACATCCGACGGCGGGATGATTCTGCAATACATACCGGATTAGCTAGACGTATTAGTTTACTTCTAACATTAAAATATGCGATTAATTTTCAAACCTTCGAAAATAATATCTCAGCACCTATCGTTATTGAATACTCGGTCTGTGATCGGGCCGAAATTGTTAATTCGAATCACTTGCGTTTCGGCCATTCCGATAATCTATACATTTGACACCGAAATATCACTCATCGCAGTGGTGGAATTTTGTTATTCTGAAGGGGAGTGGAAGGCAGTTTATTTTTAAACTAAAAAGTTAGAAATATAGAGCTTACGTTCAGTAAATTTTAAAAATATCTGAAATTTGTCCCCGTTAATTTATTAATTTATTTAATACATCTAATTTAAATATATTAATTATTAATTAATTTACAATAATTTTCTCGTTAAATAATTGCAGATTTAATTTATCTTCTGCGATAAAAATTTGAATTAAGATATGACCGGGAAGGGGACAATAAATTTGCCCTTACAATTTTATACCGGTCGGTTTACTTACCATCGCTCGCACTTTCTATACTACCTTAAGTTTTAGGTTCACACACACAGCATAATCCTATTTACAATAGTATCAAGGTTTGTACAAAAACTAGGTTAGGTTTAGACTAGAATTTATCTTGGGGAAAAGTCCTATCCCCTCGAAAAGTGCCACACAGTGGCACTTGAGTTTGTGAGTGGAACGAGGGAAGTCCTAACATTTTTAAAATTAAAGTTCTAATTTTTCGAAAAAAAATGCAAACAATTTTCATTACGATAAAAGAACAAAACCAGATAAATTATCGTTCAAAAAATTTTAGTCACCCTGTGCGGGAGATCGAACTCAGTTACGTAGATAAAAAAATCAATACTGTTACCATTGCGCAACGCTTTTAAACATTTTCATAGATGCATAATAAATATTTAAGAGTTTTAATATGAAATTATAAATTTTAACTAATTTTAACTTCAAAACTAAGTTATTGCGTTAAATTCTAATTTCACCATCATTTTTTTTACCCAAAATATGACTAAGCCCCCTCCCCCAAAAAAATTGCCAAATTTTAGGATGCCCCGTAAACTAGAAATGTTCCAATTTTTGTTCTCGGCTTTAACAGACTGTTAACACCATATAATGTAATATCACAAAATCTAGTATTATAAGTAAGTCGTTTTATTCAATGGTTACTCAATCCATTTACCGAAGATTGTGGTAGGAATATCTTGATATAATTAAGCATTAAAAAATAATTTAGGTTGTAAATTGTAAATTAAAAACTATTTGCTTTCCGTATTTTTGTTAGATATCGAGTGTATGAACTATGTCCACTTTCAGATTTTAGGAAACGTTCCGATTTTCAATGATTGACATATTATTTAATTAAACATTATGGCTGCTGAAACGTAAATAAAATTACCTATTTCTTTAGCATTTATTAAAATAAAGTATGTATACAAACTGGCTCAATGTGGGAATGTCCACTTTTTTGTTTTGAAAATAATTACCTATTATATTCGACTCTATGAGCTATGGAGATAAACATTTTATTTTCTCACATCATCATTAAGATATAATCAGTAACTAAGCAAAGCAGAATTGTATTGTTTCTTGTTTCAATATTTCATATTAATTCGTTGAACTACTGAAAGGTACATTTACTTACATAATACATTAAAATTTAATATCGTTGATATTGTCAAGCAAAAATATTCGTATTTCTGAAGAATAATTGATTGTTCTAGTTGTCCGGATTTGGATGTTAAATTATTTCGAAAAAGTCTTCTTAAACTTAACACTACTCTTTGTTCTTTAACATTATTAGATATAATAAATGTTTTTTATTGAGTTATTAAGTTAAAGTTTTTTAAATTTAATAAAATAATAACAATAATGTTCATACATATACACCTATTATAAAATTGAAATACAAAACTATAATCACAATATTACAAAATATAGTAGTTGAAAAGGAAAAACACACAGTTCATTGGTAAATTAATTTGACCAATACTTTGTTTTTATCTTTCTAGGTTAGGACTATTGAAGATTATATAAATAATCATGATTATTAATCACTCCTCAATGTCAATAAGTAATATAATTTAGTATGTTATAAATAAAGTATTGCTTCTCATTACTTTAATTAATAAATTTAAAATTAAGATAATATTTGAAATATTTCAAGTACCTAAGGCCTAAGAGTCTTTTACCCTCATAGCCCCTTCCATTATAACGGCGTCTGGTTACGACTATTGTTGTACTAATGATATAATTATTTGGATGTAGTAGTGTAGTTGGAGCTTAATTAAGAAAGGGAGCGATCACGGGTATAAATATTATTATTATTATTATTAAATACTATATTATTTTATTACCTAAAGGTTATATGCTTAACCTTGATTAAAATATCACCAATAAAAACCCCAAAAGGGAGGTCAAATTCACCTATCACCTGCCTAAACTATGCTACTGTTTGATTTTGAAAGCCTTCTCATACCGTGATAGAAGTTTCTATAAGAAAAAATACACAAATCAATAGACTTAAGTTATTGAGACGAGTTGAGCGTCTTATCGTTCACTTGACGAATTGTTACTAGAATAGGAGAATAGGAGAATGAACCAAAGGTATTATATAAATTTGGTAGGTAAATTGTATCATCGTATTTAATAGACCATAATTATTTCCGTAATAATTACGCAGTATGATTTGTATTCGAAATATTGCCATGATATCGCTATTGAGCATGTGTTTTATCTTTGACTTTTGGTTGATATCTCTCTCCCTCGCAATCGTTATGAAATAGCCGAGTAAGTTTCTCGATTCCGTCGAGAAGATCTGGGAGGTCGGTACTATTCTCTCCATGTGGGTTTAAGCTGATGAGAAGTCAACTGTTGTTAGATGACAACTGCTGATCATATTTTGAATGATATTATTGTAGTTCGAAAATGTATTAAAATACTAATAAAAATAAACTTCCACACTCGTTAGATATAAGAATATTGTAAAACGTATAAATTAGGATCGGATAGTTGTTTTTTCAAACAAAATATAATATCGATTAGGTGACATTGAAACTTACTTGTACAAGACCACACAATATCGGTTTACAAGGGTAAACATGCGTTGTTGTAAACTGGTAATTTCGAGTTATTCACAACTTTCAGAATATAATATTGCAATGCTCATATGCGTATTGACGAATTCAACATTAGATTGCGCATGCCTATTATAAAGCAAGTGATGGGTTGCACTGTCAATAAATAGGTTTCGATTTTTATTCAAGTTGTACGTATTATACACATTATAATTTATTCCGGTGAGCTTAAAAATGTAATTTTATACATGTATAAATAGTTACATATATTCATATGCAAGTGAATCATTAGAATCACATTCGATGTGCTCACAAATGTTACATAAAATGCATTTATGCATATCGAGAAGATAAAAATGAAATATCTATGAGTTTATTATTGGTGAATAATTAATATATGTGTAATGAATATTATCGAACTGAAACTGACATGTATGTATCTCTTATAATTTTTCTTAAAATTGACATTTATCATTTCTTTTTGGAATATTTATAAATGTAAAATTA